TACTGACTATAGTTGTTAGTTTCTTCTATAGTAGTTGTATGATCTTTGGTTAACGAGGAAGTAATAGTTGAGAGTGTTGAAGGTTAAAGTAAGAGATGATGAAGTTTAGTAATAGACAGATACTTGGAGAGATGACTTTCTTTCTTGGAATGGAGATTAAACAAAGCCAAGATCAGATATTCATTTGTCAGAGAAAGTATGCGAAGGAAATTCTAAAGAAATTTAGAATGGAAGACTGCAAAAGTATGAGCACGCCTATGAATCAAAAGGAGAAGTTGATGAAGGAGGATGGTGCTGAACTCGTACTAGAAGGAAACTACAGAAGCTTGATAGGATGTCTGATGTATCTTACAGCAACAAGACCAGACATATTGTATGTTGTAAATGTACTATCCAGATTTTTGAATTCTCCAAGTGAAATTCATGCGAAAGCTGCAAAAAGAGTGCTCAGGTATGTCAAAGGTACAATAGATTATGGAGTCAGATTCAGCAAGTGCAAGAATTTCAAACTTCAAGGATATTCTGACAGTGATTGGGCTGGTTCTATTGAAGATATGAAAAGTACCTCAGGGTACTGTTTTAGTTTTGGCTCAGGCTGTTTTTCTTGGTGTTCGAAGAAGCAAGAGACCGTCGCTCAGTCAACTGCAGAGGCAGAATACGTTGCTGCTACAGCTGCTGCTAATCAAGCTTTGTGGATAAAGAAAATCTTATGTGACCTAGGCCTGGAGAATGAAGAAAGCAGTGAAGTTTTTGTAGACAACCAAGCTGCTATTGCTATTTCACACAATCCAGTATTTCATGGAAAGACCAAACATTTTAATGTGAAGCTGTATTTTTTGAGAGAAGTGCAAAAGAATGGTCAAGTGAATCTGGTGTATTGTAAAACAGAAGAGCAAGTGGCTGATATATTTACAAAAGCTCTTCCAGCAAGCAGATTTGAGTTCTTGAGAACCAAACTTGGGATTTACAGCTCTTGATGCAAGGAGGAGTGTTGAATTATGCCTCATGAGCTGTTAGTTTGACGCTGAGTTGGCATGATGACTAAGCTCCTGATGTGTCCTTTAAATTGCAGAGAATAACTTAGATATTTTCTGGATATTATTAGTTGTAGACTTCCTAGTCTTAAGATTTTTCAGTTGTGATTTCCCTAGTCTTTAGGCATGAAGAAGTTGGTGGATTAGTTCCATCATATTAGGAAGTTTCAGTTTCAGTTTTTTACTGCTATTCAGTTAGGATTTCTGGTGTATTTAAGCAGCTTCTTTTAGCTTAATAAAATATATCTTCTTTTCCTCATTAAGTCTGTTGTTTTCTATTTGAATAACACCTTCAAATTGGTATCCGAGCCCTTTTTTCTTAAGGGACCTGTGAGTGACTTGTGAGTGTTGTCTGAGTGAGAAACAAAAAGCCAACCTACTTCCCTGAAAAGCCATCATAACACATGGAATCTGAAAACTCTACTAGTTCTTTTGCAATTCCGCTGCCAGTGTTTGATGGAGAGAATTACCAGGTATGGGCAATCAAGATGAAAACTCACATGGAGGCATGTGATCTCTGCGATACAGTAGAGGAGGATTACGACATTCCTGGTTTACCTGGCAATCCAACAATGGCTTAGATCAAACTTCACAAGGAAAAAAGGACAAGGAAGTTCAAGGCAAAATCTTGCTTATATGCTGCAATCTCACCAACCATTTTTTCCCGAGTCATGGCGCTGGAATCAGCAAAAGCAATTTGGGATTTTCTTAAAGAAGAATACCAAGGAGATGAGAGAATCAAAGGCATGAAAGTGATGAATCTCATCAGAGAATTTGAGATGCAAAGAATGAAGGAATCCGAAACTGTCAAAGAATACTCGGACAGACTTCTTAGCATTGTGAATAAGGTAAGAATGTTGGGTAAGAATCTTCCTGATAGCAGAGTTGTTGAAAAGATTCTTGTAACATTGACTGAGAAGTTTGAACCCACTATTGCTTCCTTAGAAAATACTAAGGATCTGTCACAGATAACCTTGGCAGAAGTACTAAACGCATTGCAGGCACAAGAGCAGAGAAGGTTAATGAGAGAAGAAGGGACAGTAGAAGGTGCATTACAGGCGAAGTTGCAAAGTAATGCCGGAAGCAGATACAAGAAAGGAAAAGGAAAGAAGAACCATGC